TCTTAAGCCTGAGGAAACTGAGGCCCACCCAGGGAAGTGAATTTATGATCCTGAGGTCACAGGATGAGTGTCAGGCCACAACTAGGACCTGCCCCTGGATTTCCAGTGAAGTACTGTTTTCATAACATTTCACGTCTCATCAATGTTGAGTTTTTAGAATGATTGTTTTTATTGGTTTGGTAGTCAGATATTTTCCCTCAAGTACATGCCTATTGGTATCTTTAATGTTGATGAGCATTTCTAATATGTAGAGGATTCTTATGTGTGAAGAACTCATAATCCTTTGTTGTGTAATCTTAACATCTGGAACCCACACTTCCCAATAGAGGAATTGTGTGGGCCTTCTGGTTAATATTACCCTCACCTAAAGTGGATTTTTAAAATTCTGGAATAAATTAATAAAACATTTACTAATTAGTTTTACTCCTCAGAGAATCCATGAGAATATAAATATCATTGACAATTGAAACCGTTGTCCTTATTTTTTACTTCCAAGTCATAGTCAGCCTATCTGAAACTATGGCCTCAGAAAAACAGTATTTGGTAAGAAATCATCACTAGAAGTAGCTCACTAAATGATGCTAGTATTGCCCAGATAAAGTATAAGTTACTTGGGTTTTTTTAAAAAACTGCATGAAGGAAAAGAATCTGGGTGCAAGTCAATTAAATGGTATAATAAATTACTCTTTTAAAATTTCTCCCCCAAATCAGCATTCTATCTGTATTCAGAATATTTCCTGATTAACAAGTCAGCTATATATTTTCCCTTCTTGAAGAGCCACATGATTAAGGAAATCCAAGTAGCCTTGCATCTTGAAGAGCCACATGATTAAGGAAATCCAAGTAGCCTTTGTTTTAAAAAAAAAATTTTTCACTGATAGATCCATAAAACTTTGTCCTAATGTCACTTTTTCTTAAATACACATTTGATCTTAAAGAACAAAGTATAAGAAGATGGAAAATCATGGGCAAGTAGATTTATATGAAGTGATTCAAAATATTGATCTAGAAAAGAAAAAATATATATTTATAATATCAAGGAAAAAATGTTCATATCTAGCCTGTATTTTTAAACTAATAATTGAAGCATTTCCCTGTCAAATTCTCATTTTATGAAAGATGTTTGTGAGGTTATTCATACATTGAATTCTTGTAAATCAAGTCATTTTTTATATGTCACAGACAGGTATCTTGATTTTTAGAATTCAGTGGCAGCTTCCTTTGTGCCATGAATAATCAAATGGCTTTATTAGGATTTCTTCATTGGATATTGGTTACATCCCTGTATCATGAAAACTACATTTGAGATGATAGACAGTAAATGTCCCTGAACAATATTAATACACTAATATTGACATTTGTTATTGAGAATTGACTTCATCATATGTGATAGATTCATAGGGATCAGTATTAATGTTTGTTTAATAAGAATGTCTAGGTTCTTGCATATAAAACCTTTCCAGTGGCTTTTATAATATCTTGAAGTAATTCTGAATGTGCTTTTGTAGCTTTTGCTTAGCTTTAATGAATCTTAAATGTTTTAGTGTAATATGACAAAGACAGAAAACTTGCCCTGAAGACTCCTTCCTTTCACTTAACAAAAGCCACCCATTTCACAGATGATTTAACTTTGATTAACCTACGCCGTTGTAACAGATTCTTCCGACAACTGGGATTTCAGTCTTCGGTGTTATTTCCAAGAGCAGGTTCATTTCCAGCTCACCAGAGTACATCACACTTTTGATGTTAACTCAAAGTAAAAACTCAGTGGTTCATTAACCCTAGTTTTAGCAGTCATTGACAAGAGATTTGTCATTTTAAAAGTCGCTTCTACTTTTCTGCACTCTTTACTGCTCAGTTTATAACCTTAGCTTCCCTGTCAGTGAAAGCATGGAGTTAACCACTTAGCATATTGTTATGAATATTCATCAATAAATTGATGTGCCATGGCAGTCCCATTTCCAGTCTTCCTGCTCTGTTGCACTCTTTTCCAGTTATAAATATATTATAGTTTATCATGTAGTATGGACTAGCTTAGAAAATCCTTACAATTTAATACTGTATTTTTTGTCATGTTAATCATACTGTAATACCTATCGTATTAGTTGTATTGTTTCTGAAGAACATACTCTAATCTGATATCCTTGATATGTGATATTTTTGCCAAATATTTGGTATATATAGATAATTGTTTAAGAATTGCATATCATTTTATGTCCCTAAAATTTATTTAGCTTCATAATTTGTATGAAACGGGGTTAAATACCTGTTATAGTTGTAGAATCAGTTTTTCAATCCATAGAAATGGAGGTTTGTATATTTATTCTAACATAAAATCCTGAGAACATATATTTAAGTAGTTGATATAGCAACTACAACTAAAATAATTTATATGATCAAATGGGCATGGAAAATGCCATATAGTAAGACAGATACATGAATCCATCTGGTATGCTTCATCTGCATTTTAAATTTTACTAGGAAAAAGGAGTCTAAACAAGATCTTTTCTGTTTAATATGTAGATTGTGAAGTCACTTAGCACTAAAGTACTGACCATACGCATATGACAGGAATTTGACACCTGTCATTGGAAATGGTACTTAGAAGCCGGATAATGCAACAAAGTTGAGGGAGAATAATATGTGGAGAGGAGACTATAATTTATAATCCACAATGCTTAAGAATGACCTTACGTGGGTGATTCAAAACCCCAATCTTTGATTTTAGGATTTGCATACAGTGAACGTTCCTAGTAAATAAAATGTATTAGACTAACTTAATAGTACTAGCATAAAAGAAAACGCCTTATATTCCTAAAGTGCATTTTCAATGGACATAAATCTCCATTTATTTTAAAAGTCAACTTTTAAGTTAAGTGTAATTAAATGGTTTTATTACATCACACCCAGAGGTGGCTTCGTGACAGAATCTCCTGATGTTTGCGTAGTGTGGCATAGACTCGCCTCCAGTTAGACTGTTTTCAGACTAATAATCCATTGTATATGAGAACTCATCTAAAAAGGAGTACTGTCCTTCTGTTTCTCTCTGTGATTATTTTGCCCAAAAAAGCTTTCATTTTTTTAAGTAGCACAAAAGCTGTAATTGGCATGCTTTGTAAGGAAGTGTCAGTGTGCAAGAGAGTGGCGATCACGAAGAATTCTTTTACGTGTTCTTTCCCCTTTGCACCGCCGCCTCCTCAGCAGGGTCACTGAGATCACTAGCTTTTCTTGAAATGGCCATTTTCACTGGCAGGTGCATTATACCCTGTATTTTCAGATTGTTTTTCCATTCTGAATGTTTGGCAGATTGATTGCTCTGGCTGCATTGACGGAGAAAGGGCTGACAAATGTAGTTGGGCTGGCTGAAAAGACAGTGATTACTGTTTTCCTTTGTGGCTGATTGAGGCCCTTGAAAGGAAAAATTTTAACCTTCACCATTTGGTTCAAAAGTATGAGCATATATTGAAATCATTCGTGCCATTTATCCTAGTTCTGTAAACTTGTCAGAACGTAAAAATCGCTCAATTTCAAGTAATGTAGGATTGGCATACGTCATTATCATTTTGATTAAGTTGGAGGTTGTATCATTGTGTGCATTATACAGTGTCATTTAAAGCTTTCTTTCCTACAGGTACAGTTGTATTTTTATTGCTTATACTATAGAGTCAGAAGATTTTCCTGGCTCTCTAAATCTACACGATGTGTGTGGTTTGGCAGCTGGTGTGGCCTACAAGCTGCATTTTGTTTGCAGGGGGGAGGCTTGTCTGTGGGCCCCCTGGAGTGCGGGTAATTGCAGGAGCTCCACATTGGGGAGAGACAGGATTGGAAGCAGTCAGGCGGAAGAATGTTATGCCATCCCATTGCCACCTTGTACAGAAAGACACAATCCCAGCAGTGCCATCTGGTTGTTGCTGTCTAGTCAGCTGGCTTGGCTGCTGGGACCATGACTTGGCAGCTGGTTCTCATCCTTGACCATTCTTTTGTGAACGTCATCTGGGGATGTGTTTCAGATCATTTTGAACATGGGTCAGGGAAATGACTGTAACTCTTAACTAACAAGTCCCCTTAGTGAATAGGCGCTCATTACTTGAGATAGGCACTCTGCTGTCGACGCCTGCTGCCATTCCCTTATTGACAAATGGCACATCTGTTTAGACAATAAAAATAAACATTTTTTTTTCTTCCAAAAAAAATCCATTTCAGGATGAAGAGAAGGAGCAGGTAGGCATGGTGGGGTATGTCTTATAACATTTTACATTTGAAGTTCCTTCCTGGGCAGGTAGAGAAGGAAAGATTTAGTGATTGAAAAAGTGTAAACATTGCATATTATACCCATATAAATCTTGATTAATTAATAAAACATGTTAAGTGCTTATTGCCACATCATAGAGGTAGATAATGAGACTTGCATTTAAAATGACAGAATAGAAAATGTGGTCTCGTAGTTATTATCTTTAAAATCTGCCGTTCAAATAGCAACCTGAGAGTTAATGTAAGCCATCTTTATGCTGTATGAAGACCCATTAGACACTGATGGTTTGAGATCACAAGGAAGCAGCCAGCTCTGGAGGCTATTTTAGACATTTGATTTTCTTCATTCTGCAGCATTAATGTGTCAGCATGCTACATAAAACTATGCTGGAGTAGCAGTGTTGTTCTGCCCTGAGTGATAAGTGCTTGCAAGCTTTCAGGGGTTTCTGTGAGGAATTCACCCCAATTGCTTACATATCTTATTTCGGTTTATGTAACTACAGAATTTAGCATGCCTGTTGATGAAGGTATACATATGCATAGGTATGTATAAAAATTTAACCAAGTGCTTCTGCTTCACTCTCTCTTTAAAAGTGGCTAGTACCAATTTGCATTATTTATACTTTCTCTGTCTGATGAGTGATTTACTTTCACGCTTAATGTTGTAAGGTGTGGTACATTTTGAAATATCTGAACAATTATCAGCTCTTTTCATAGAAACAATGTTTGCCTTCTTCTGATGATTTCAGATGAAGAGGAGGAAGATGACGTCGTGGCACCTAAACCCCCTACCGAACCTGAGGAGGAGAAAACTCTAAAGCCAGATGAAGACAGTGACAGTAAAGGTACCTGAAAAAGACTGAACTTTAAGATATCTGTGGACTCTTGTTGAGTTTGACTGCATTATGTATGGTTAAAAATAAGCTGCTGTAACTTGAAGCGGTGGCTCTAGTTGAAAAAGCATTGGTGGTCTCGATTGATCCACACGTGCTAGTGGGTTGCCATGGGTTGACCGAATGTAAATCAGACTGCAGCAAGCTCCTTGTTTTCCAGCTCCCCCGCATGAGCTCACTGAAGAAGAAAAGCAACAAATTTTGCACTCTGAGGAATTTCTAAGCTTCTTTGACCATTCTACAAGAATTGTAGAAAGGGCTCTTTCCGAGCAGATTAACATCTTCTTTGACTACAGTGGGAGAGATTTGGAAGACAAAGAAGGGTAATATTTCGTTGTTAACTTTATAGCTTCAACAGTATTAAATTACTTTGAAGATTTCAGAGTGATATAAGTTATGTTTAACCCTTAATTTTGGATTTGATCTTTTCTGTAGAGAGATTCAAGCAGGTGCTAAGCTGTCATTAAATCGACAATTTTTTGACGAGCGTTGGTCAAAGCATCGTGTTGTTAGTTGTTTGGATTGGTCCTCTCAGGTAAATGCTTACAAAATTAGATGTTATTAACTCATTTGTTATTCATAATTAACCAGCGGTTTTCATCATGGGAACTGTTGGTAGTGAAATCAATACATATAATTAAAAATAACAACATAGTGGTTCTAATGTTACCATAGTCCATTTGTTACCATTTGTTTTGTTTTATATATTGTGGAAGAAACATACTTAAAACTCAGCATTTCATTTAAGCCACCGCTCTGTTATTCATTTCAATTGCTCACCAAATTCTTAGAACCAAATTTAATCAAATATTTTGATATTGAAACATTTTAAAGAATTAACTGTGTTAATATAAGGCTGCCCTAGGTTCCCAATGAGCATAATGTGAGATACCCTGGTGGATAAAGTCTCCAATACTTGTATTTTCAGAGTAATTTGATGGAAATGTTTGTGCAACAAAGAACACAAAATAGCTCTTACTGGTGTATATACTTTCTTTTCTGCTTGCTTCTTGTGTCCAGTATCCAGAGTTACTTGTTGCTTCCTATAATAACAATGAAGATGCTCCGCACGAGCCTGATGGTGTAGCCCTGGTATGGAACATGAAATACAAGAAAACTACCCCCGAATATGTGTTCCACTGCCAGGTAGGATGGTCTTCACAGTCTTCCCCAAGTTTAAGAACTCATTAATGAGTTTAGACAAATGCCCTTTTCCTTTCTTGTCAACATAATGATTTCATTGGATTGGCATTTACTAAAACCACTCCATATTTGCAAACAGATGTTGACAGAAAACTGAAGACTTCTCCGTTCAACATGATCTGCCTTTTGTAGCTTTCCTGACATCTCTTATAATGTTTAATCACACCTAAAGTCCCTTGCTGTTGTGATTTTCCCTTGTTATTGTGATTGATTGTATAAAAGGAATCTTTTATAAAATGTCTTTTCTACAGGGAGTTTCTCAGGAACTTACTTGCTGAATACACAATTAGACGGTCGGCCCACTGAATTACTTATACATGGCCTGAGGAGTTGGAATTAGATAGTTTTAAGTAGAAACATATGTTTAAAGAAGAGAACAGATGCAGATTTTTAAAGTGGATTTACTGCAAAGTTAGAATTTGCAAACCTTTTCTAGTTGTAAAGTTAAAATCTGTTAATAATGTCACAATTCTAGGGAGGAAAACAACAACACTAAACTGAATCAAAACCAGCTTATACATTGCTGTCAACGGCGCATACAGTTGTTTTTGTGTTTTGTTTTAATACTATAGTCAAATAGAATATTTTTTTATTTAATACTATAATCAACCAAGGCAAATGTTTTGAGAATGATGATGGCAACAAATGTACAAATGTGCTTGACATAATGGATGGATTTATGGATTGTGATAAGAGTTGTATGAGCTCCCAATAAAATGATTTTAAAAAAATACCATAATCAAATAGAATAATTTTTTGCTTTCTTTGAAGCAAAAGTTTTCTTAAGAAAAATTTCTTAAACAGCCTATCTAAAAAAAATCATTACACTCACTTTTTAGCCAAAAAACTCTTTAATGATATATTTTTATAATCCTGAAGCAAAATAAAATTGTTTAAGAATTTATTGTATTGTTGTTATAACCATTAATACCTTAAATAAAGGAGGAAGCATTTTTATAACTTGTCAGCTTCTTCCATTTGAACAGCAAGTGTAAAAATCTTTCTTCCTTTGCAGTCAGCTGTGATGTCTGCTACATTTGCAAAATTTCACCCCAACCTTGTTGTTGGTGGTACTTACTCAGGCCAAATTGTGCTTTGGGATAACCGCAGCAATAAGCGAACTCCCGTGCAGAGGACTCCACTGTCGGCCGCTGCACACACAGTAAGTAAACAGGATTGTTTCCATTACACGTCTGTATTCCTTCTCCAGTCAACGGCCACCAGAGGCGTCTCAGAATGTACTGCCTTTGATGTATGAGATCTTCCTTATTTAGCAACCCAGAACGAAGGGGTGATGTTTTGTATTGTTTGGTTTTTCTTCATTTGGAATTCTGCTTTATTAGAAACGGAAGGACTGTAAGGCTCAATCTTTTATGAGCTGAATTTTTTTGCTACTCCAAAGGACCACAGGAAACTTGACATGAACAATACCATCAAGTTATTAGAAACTGTTTCCTCATGAAATATAATACCTATGATAGCACAGTATGAGAAAGTAAAATAACTGAAACCTTTAATTTCTGTCTCTCTAGCACCCAGTATATTGTGTAAATGTAGTTGGAACGCAGAATGCTCACAATCTGATTAGCATCTCTACTGATGGAAAAATTTGTTCATGGAGCCTGGACATGCTCTCCCATCCACAGGTAGGATCAACTTCAGAAACTGATACTGTGAAGCAAATACTTTTATTATGTCAGTGTTTACATATCCCAACACAAAGTTTGTTCTTAATAAGCTGTTTTATATAATAGTATTGTTATAGCAGTTTATAAACCTAACATAATATGTTCATTGTATATACCTTCTATTTTCAAACTTCATTTAATCATCAAAGTAGATTCATGTAAGGAGGATAGTAAAAGCATTATTTACAAATTAACTAAAACTAGATAGTATTTTTATACAAATGTAAGTTGGCAAGTTTACAAAACAGAGTCATTTTGCCCCTCTGTAGGATAGCATGGAGCTGGTGCATAAGCAGTCAAAGGCAGTAGCTGTGACATCTATGTCCTTCCCTGTTGGAGACGTCAACAACTTTGTGGTTGGGAGTGAAGAAGGCTCCGTGTACACAGCATGCCGCCACGGCAGGTAAACCTAAACTAGAATTTGCAATTATTGAATATTCTCCCTTGAATAATCTCATTGAAACAAATTGCCCCCTGTTTAAATGGAAATCTACCCTACAACCACTTATTATATGTGACAAATTATTTGTGTTCAGGCCTATAGAATTAAAACTTACTGTTTGTTTTTTTTAACCAGAGGTCCTTTTGGATTCATGATATGTCTTAGGTATTGTAGACTGCGGTGTATTGTGTTGGTTTGGGGTTTTTTGTTGTTGTTGTTGTTTATGTGTACGAGTGCACGTGCACAAGCTAGTGGTAGAAAAGAATATTTGGCAATTTCAGATATACCATCCATAGAGGAGTAAATAAGAAGACGATCAGCTGCTTTCCCGTTTTGAGGCATTGGGACTTGGGGCATTACTTCCATCCTCCTGTTAGTTGTACAGTAATGTCACATCCATATTTTAAATTGACTGATATTTCTCATGCTGTTCAATCTGTTTTCCAATTGTCTAGCTGTACCTTATCAATTGCTTCCTTACATAAAATTGGCTGTCCAGATTTCCACTCAATACAGATCACCATCACTTCAAGGCTTTTGATTTAAAGGTGTCTCTTTAAAGCTGTCTCTTTCACACGTAGCATCCCTTTGCATTCGCCCACCACCTCTCAGTGTGCTCCCCTGTATTGCACTTGGCAGGCACCGAGTGTTTCACAAACTGAAGGTTCGTGGAAACTCTGCCTCGAGTAAGTCTGTTGGTATCGTTTTTCCCACAGCATAGATACACTTCATGCCCCTGTGTCACACTTTCATGATGATCACCTTTCAGCTTTTTCATAATGCCATTTGTACCTAACATAGTACATAATATAGGCATGGCTTTTGTATAAGCATAACTTTTATTACATGTACTGGAAAGCAAAAATAAATGATGTGAATTGCTTTATTTCAATTTATTGCAATGGTCTGGAACTGAACCTGCAGTCTCTCTGAGATAGGCCTGTGTTGCCAAATCTGGGTAAAAAAAACAAAAAAATATGCGTAAGAATTGGAGTTTGATGAATTATCTCAAGGTGTGATACTCAACCCTTGTATTTGTAACTTATCTACTTACAGAGATTTCACTAACATTTTCACTTTTATAAAATAGCAAAGCTGGAATCAGTGAAATGTTTGAGGGGCATCAAGGACCAATCACGGGCATCCATTGTCATGCAGCTGTTGGAGCAGTAGACTTCTCACATCTTTTTGTCACTTCATCATTTGACTGGACAGTAAAACTGTGGACAACTAAGGTACCCAAAATATAGATGTCTGTTCATTTGCTCAAGTCTCTGACACAAGGTGGTGCTCTAATACTGCAGAGGAGAGATGAAACGCTTTCAAGTAGCCTAGAGTTATTTACTGGTAGATCAAGCCAGATAAAAAGTTACACAGGATAAGTGTGAACAGGTGGCTGTTACAGTTTCCACAAAAGTGTGCTGGCAGATCCTGAAACCCCACCTGAACCAGACTTCCCACTACTTCGGGAGCTTTGAACACAGAGCTCCTTGCCCTGACTTGGGGAGATAACCCCCGGGGGCCCAAGACCGGACAAGCATTGTGTTCTTTTGAATGTCGGGTCGCTGTAAGTGAAGACCAGCTCCCTGGCACCTAACAGCAGCAGCATCCTGCGTCACACCGCTCAGAACTGTGAGGCAGCTATGAGGAGCTACGGTAGCTCAAAGGACTGAGAAATGGAGGGAAGGGAGAGAAAAGCTGACGGACACTAAGGTCCTATCAAATAAGCGTTTACTTCAGAAACAGCAGTCGTTAGGAAAGCATTGTGTAAAGGCATAGGTTCATGTTAACACTCGTCTTCTACACCAGATGATTTCAGTAGTTTGATTTTGGCTTTAGTAAGCTTCAGCTGTGTGACAAGCCCACTTAGGTGGTAAAGTGCTTCCTGATCCTCCAGCAATCCCACCCAGATCAGTGCAACATGGTGATGAGGATTTCAGTTGCATTTCTGTGTTTCTCTGCTTATCATCTTTAGACTAAAGACCAGCAGGAACTTGGCCAGTCAGAAAGTCCCAAGTAGGGAACAATACGTCTTGTTACAAACCTTATAGTCTCCTTCTACCCATGTTTAAATTAAAGTGCTTTGAGCTTACTGTTTGTTGCACTGTTGCTAGTGAAACTGCATGTTGTCTATCAGGTACTGTTTCAGTTTTAAACTTTCCCTCTCCCCATGTTTTCCTCCATCTTACCCTGAATGAGAGGCGTGGCTCTTTCATTTCTTTAAGAATTCCTAGTGCTCGTAGGAGATGCTCCACACTGGTGTAGACTTAGTAAGGGTTGGCCTCAGACATCTGGGAAGAACGCACTTTTCACTCGTGTGTTTCTGGGTGTTGCCTTTCAGTGTAATCAAATGAGTCAAAACTTGCCTTTTGAAAATGGGATGCTTTCAGTTTGGTATTAGCAGACCCAGAAGTAGTACTTACCCGAAGACTAGTGAAGGAGCCGTATTCTAAAAGTACTTAAGACGGTGTCCAACATGTCGCAGGCACTTAACAATTGTTCACTTCCTCCTTTTCCTTTCCGCGGGGATCAGACAGAGCCAGAATGCATGTAATAAATCAGTTGGTTTCTTTTTGGGATTGTTCTTGAATTTTGTGTGTGGTTTTTTTAATGAGACTAAAACAGGAGAGGAGGCGGAGGGAGGAGCGTCTCACACTCTAGTAAGGAAATGCAGAATGCAGCCCATACCTTCAAAACAAAGCCCAGGCCTGTGGAAGGACGAACAAGCCAGCTGGTTTTCAGTAGGCTGCAGGCAGGCTGTAAGTTGCTGGATTTCTGGATGTCCTTTAGTAGTCCTGTATATATAGACACAGAAGACACTGCATATTTGGTAGGTGGTTAGCCTGCTTGTTTTTTCGTAACTGAAAAGAATGATTAGGTCTGTTTGTAGGTTTGGGGGGATTTTTTTTTTTTTTGGTATTGCAGGGCTTTAGCTGCCAGCCTTCCGTTGGCTCCATGTACGAGGCTGCCTCACATTTCAGCCTGCCTGAACAAGAGCAGGACTTCCCTACGCGAGCAGACTGACTGATGCCTGCCGCTGTGGCACTGCATGGCTCATTGATCTCTGGTTGGCTATTTTGTACCTGTATTCTGCTGTATTTTAACACAGAACCGTCCTCTGAATGAGTGTCAGGAAGGCATATGTTTCTCTTGGCTACCTGAGCTCTACTTTCCTCCCTTCTTTGTGCCTCTTAAAACTCATGTACTCATTCAGCCATGACTCTTGCCTCCCCTTCTCCACACACATGAACACCCTCCCCCTCCCCCGCCACGTTAATGGCCAAAGGGTTTGTTTTGGATACATAGAGCAGTATATTTTCATCCATGCTCCAGGACGCTCTAAAACTTACTGGGAAGAATTACCTTGTATCCTAACTTTTCTCTACACAAATGGTGTACATTGTGAAAAGTAGCCCGGTAGCACCCTCCTGAGTAACTGTTTTTCTCCTGGCCATACTGTGACTGCAGTGCCTTTGTTTGGTTCTTGGATCTGCACTCACTCCCTGGGTACTTGTGCTGCTCTGTTATTCCTACCTTCCCCCCTCTCCAGTGCAGGGCTCACTACCCCAGCAACAGCCTCTCTCGAAACAGTTCTGCTTTAAGCTGCTTTCACCTGGGTCTCCACATTCATGGCTCTAATAGACTTAGAAGAGTTAGCAGGCTTTAAACTGTGCTTGTTTGCCTCTACAGTGATTTCTGACTTTGGGAGTCAACCCCTGATAACCTGGAAGCATCACCCAGTAGATGTTGCTGTACCTTTGTGTCATTTAAGCTCTGGCTCTGCCCAAAACACAAAACAAGATTCCTTCTGTTCCTTTCTGTGGGTCCTCTAGCAATTCCTTGAAAGCTCAGTTTAGCACTGCCTCAAAATTAGCTCAAAGTCATCTGCCAGACTCTACTCTTTACCTACTCGGGAACTGATAACACGCTCGCAGAGTTACTTCTGTGGTTCTTCACACTGTTTTCTTTACCTTTTTTGAGCGAAGCTACTTTTAGTACAGAATATAAGCAACCCCCCCCCCACCACCCTAAAAAAACAGTGCCACCGTGTCCATTCCAACGCATAGTGACCCTTACATAATACAGAGTAGAACTGACTCGTTGGATTTGCAAGGCTATAGAGACTGCCGCAGCTTTCTCACTCAGAGCAGCTGGTGTGTGTGAACCTGATGCTCAGCAGCCGAGCTCTCTAACCACTCTGCCGCAGGCTCCTGGGTACTTTTCCATGTTGGTGAAGTGTAGTCAACCACGACATTGTGTCTACTATATGTGGAGGAATCTTATTTTCTCAAATACTAAGTATGAAAATTTTTCATACGGAGCACAGAAACCCTCAGGCAGGCCTCCTTGCTAAGGAGCTTAGGTGAGTGAAAGTGCTTCAAGGTAACCTAAGGGTTCTATAGGAACTTGATTTGGAGTAGACCTGGTAAATTAGCTTAATATTCTTCTACAGTTCACCATTCTTATTATAAATTACTCCTTGTTCATTATTATTATTATTTTCCTTAGCTAACGATGAGAAGCATAGCGGCATACTCACGTTAGCCTGACCAGCTCATTGTTTCCTATAGACAACCTACATGGGAAGCCAAATTATAATCAGGAAGTTGCTTGGTGAGCAAGGATTTGGAACAAAAGAAGTTTCAGAATTTGAATATTTAATGGCATCAAGCTAAGATAGCTTGATTCCTTCATCTTCCTATAGAGATAGCCTTGCTGTGGGGTGGTAATTCTCAAGCTCCCCTGCCGGAGACGCCCTCTTGCCTGGACAGTGCTTGAATAGTTACTGCCCTCATTTTCCTTATGACATTGCCGCTTTACATTACTGTTACTTCTAATGGGCACATTTCTTCTCCAGAAGTGAATGTCTTCCATCAGGTGCTCATGGGAAGGTCAGAGGACCGCTGGCAGTGCAGTGGTTATCACTGAGCTGCGACCTGGAAGGCTGATGCCTCCCCGCCTCTCTCCAAGGGACAAAGACCTAGTGAGCTCCTTCCCTAATGATTGCAGCCCAGGAAACCCTAGAGGGCAGTGCTGCTGGCGCACGGGGCCAGTAGTATTTGAGGACACCCTACAACAGGGTGTCGGACCTTGTGGGTTGTTGTTTTAAGACCTCTGTCTCTGTTCTCATCCAGCCTAGCGACATAACTTTACAGTGATGGAGTATGTCATCGTTTTCTTCATGTATGCACTACAGTGACTCTTTGTAACTAATCTGGGACTCCCTAGAAAACCACGGCCTCTCTTGGTCGTCGTACTGTGTTTATTCTGAAAGCATGAGGCATCTTCTCTAATTCAGATGCTGGCCTTCATTCAAAAGAAACTTAGATCTTTGTTTTCTTCCGCATCCTTTTTGCAAATATATTTTGAGAAGCTTTTACATGGAAGTAGTTTAGAGCTGCAGTGATCATTAGAAGAGTTCTATTTTTGTGGTTTTCAGACGTGGCCCCACATTAGAATCACCTGGGCAATTTGTAAAACTCTCAATGCTCACCTGGCCCCTTAGCTGAACTAAGTCTGAATCTCTGAGTAGGGGGACTCAGACAACAACATAATTTTGAGTTCCCCAGAGGATTACAGTCAAGGGTCAAAACCACTGGTACAAAACCTTGTTCTAGTAGTAAGGAAAGAGCCAGCCCAAACTCACTGCCGTCAAGTCCATTGCATCTCACAGCGACCCTTTAGGACACAATAGAAGTCCCCCTTTGGGTTTCCAAGACTGTAAGTCTTTAAGGAGCAGACAGCCTTCTCTTGCTCCCTCGGAGGAGCTGGTGGGTTCAAACGGCTGACCTTGTGACAGCAGTTCATTGTGTAGCTCACTCTGCCACCAAACTGCTTACATTCCAAAACAGAGCCTTAGAAAGGTGAGGCCACTTTTCCAACCCTGGTCATTGTCTATAACTACTTGTAAAATTTAAGGAAGGCAATGGCATTTTGCAGTATTTTTATTTTTAACGAAACCCTTTAATTAGAGTCTATCCTGCTTCTGTGATTGCTTGGAAAGCCGCTCTTTGAATAGGTGAACTATCACTTGAAAATGGGGTGCTCCTGCATCTAGCTCAGGAGCCCCAGATCTTAGCACAATGGTCCGGAGCCGGTAATGTGCGTCAGCATCACGTGTGGAGCCATACCTGACTATCATGGAGTGCACCTGAAGGGGTGCGCCTGCGACTGTCCTACTGTGAAAGCGGGCGGTGGGTGCTGGTGAAGCCGCAGCCACAGCACCAGTGGAGTTGCCAGGGAGAAAACCAGTTGCAGCTCACAGCAACCCACCTATTAGAGAGTAGATGTGCTCCACTGCAGGTCACCTTGGCTCTGATTTTTGTGGAAACAGATCGACACGCCTTTCTTTTGCAGGACCATTGGGGGGAGGTTGAACCCCAACCTCTAAGGTTGATACCCAAGTGCAAATCATTGGCTTCCCCCAGGACCTACTTGCCGGGGCGGGAGGAGGGGGAAGGTATAGGTAAGTTGGGATCTGAAAACAAAACCAACCAATGTCATTGAGTTGATTCCACCTCGTATGCCCCTATCAAGACTATCAGCCTTCCCAGCCGGAGAAAGCTGTCTCTCTCCCTCTCTGCGTGACAAGTGGCTTTGAACCCCGAGCATGCAGGGAGCAGCCCAGCGCATTTCCCACAGCCACCAGAACTCCATAGGAGGGAAAAACTCGTCATTTTAGTTTTCAGTTTGCTGTTAAGTTTCATTTCATGTTTTTTAAAACATTAAAGCAAACCCTTTTAATGTTAAGATTATCGTGGTATTGATCATTTACTATCATCTGAAAAAAAACTTTTTTCTTCTCCCCTTCTTTTTTCTTACTTTGTTGTGTTGGAGGAACGATAAGGCTGGTTGGCCTGCAGAGCTTCTCATGATGTGGATTTTGTGTGTCTGGGGTGTCTCCTGCAGTGTCCCTCTACTGCCTGTGTTCCTTGTCAAGTCCTACTTAGGCATAAAACCTTGAGTTAGACGCAGCTTCAGTCAACCACTTCCTAGGTGGTCGTCTCTGCTTCCATCGGGATATGTATACAAGGAGGCTTCAAATCGTTCCTGGGAAATTTTATTACCTTCGCATTCCCGTCTTTCTCTTCTAACAGCTGGTTGCTCTGGCTGCTGTGTTTTTGTGTGTTCCTACCAGCCACTGATGATCCTGCCTGGGTCCATTAACACATGCAGGGGTTCCAAATGATTTTAATACTCTAATTCTTTGCGTAGTAGCTAACATGCAAGAGTGCCCACACTAGTCCATATGTTCATGCCTTCTCACGTTTGGGGTTTTTTTTTTACCGTCATCTGAGCCACGTTCTGTAGTAGATGTCTCAAGAGGTACTCATGGACACAGAATTCCCGTGTTCACAGCAGTCGAACCTGCTTATGCAGGTCAGTCTGGTCTTACATAACGTCGGTGACTTACATGTTCCTGCTTCTGAGTCGGTGTTAACTATTGTGTTCCGAGGAAACGGCACTGATATCACAAAGTCGGTGCCGGTCTTTGTTTTCATAGCCTGTGACTTGGTCTTTTTACCCGAGTGTTCAAAGGGGTTTTTTGTCCTAAATGGGTCAATTTTCCTACATACATAGAATATCCTTTCAATATGTAATTTCAAGCTGTCTTTTATTTGAAGAGCATTCTCTTGAATGACAGTTTTACTGTCCCGGAACGTTGCACTGGCTTTGTTTAGGGCTGCTGGTCAGTGTGTCTTTGCTAATCTTTCTTCTTTTTTTTTTTTAATTTTCTTTAGCTCTTTCATCCTTTCTTCTTTTAATAACAGCCTTAAAAGAAATACAATTCAGACCATAATATTTACCCATTTAAAATGTGTGATCTAATGGATGTTAGCATCTTGCACAGCTACAACCACAATATCATTTTTTAACATTTTCAACTCTCAAAAAAAAGCACCGTACCCCTGAGCACTTCCTCATCATTCCTGCCTTCTCCCAGCTCCTGGAACCCCCAGTGTGCCTCCAGGCTCTGGACTTGCCCAAGATGGCCAGCCACTCGTGGTCATTTCATGGAATCAGATAGTATGTGACCAGCTTCTTTTACTGGGTGTGTTTTCACAGTTCATCTATGTTGTATGCATGTCCAAACTTTGTGTCTTTGTTCAGTCGTGTTTCAGCATGTCCTTATACCACCTTTTATTTATTTATCCATTTCTCAATTGATGGCCATTTGAGTTGTTTACACTTTTTTGACTATTATGAATGCGTTCATGTGCGTATTTTGTATGAACCTATGATGTCATTTCTCTTGGGTCTTTACCTGAGAGAACAATTTTGAGGAATTGCCAAACTATTTTCCAGAGCAGCTCTACCAGTTTCTGTTCCCACCCAGCGATGTGTGAGGGTTCCGAGCTGGGCTGCTAATGGCAAGGTCAGCAGTTTAAAACCACCCATGGCACCAAGGGAGAACAATGAGGCTTTCTACTCCCATAAATATTTACAGGTTGGGAAACCCAGAGGGACAAGTCTGCGCTATCCTGTAGCATCACTGTAAGTCCGAACTGACTCCGTGGCAGTGAGTTGTTGAGTCAGTACAAAGGAACCCTGGCGGTGCAGTCATAGGTGACCAGCTGCTAACTGAAAGCTTGGCAGTTCAAGTCCACCCAGTGATTTCACAGGAGAAAAGACCTAGCCATGTGCTCCCATAAAGATGGTAGGCTAGGAGACCTTATGAGCAGTTCGGCTGTCTTACTGGGGCGCTCTGAGTTGGCCCCGAAGGAGCCCTGATGATGCAGTTGGTCAAGTGTTGGACTGCTGTCTGCAAAGTGGACAGTTCAAGCCGACCAGACGATGGCTCTTGGGAGCGGATCTCCAGGCTGAGGCACCTTGGGATGGGTTGCCAATTAAGCTGTACCAGAAATTTCACAAACATGGAGTGTAATACGGAGGTTCCCCAGTAACCAATCCTGAAATTCTGCCATTGGTCATCAGAGATCTCCAGAACAGCACATCAAAGGCTGATTAATGGACTCAAATATTGTGCAGTAAAGAGAAGTACAAGCATGCCCTTTCAGAAAATTTCCTTTTTTTTTTTTCCAGAAAATTTCCTTTTTAGGAAAGACTTACGTCACTATTCTGGCTAAAGAAGGAAATTAGAAGAGGAGAGGAATCTTGCTTTTACCCAAAAAGGAGCAGGGGGAATTATTCATCATCTGTTTGTCAGCAAATTGTTAAAGATGCAGCATGCAGGGCCCCACAAGGTGCTCAGCCCCTTTCCTGGGAATGACACTCAGCAGCAAGCGCTGTAGTTTTCAACTGTGTCTGTGGACCCTGTGTGTTAATGCTGTTTTAGGAACGATGCATTAGGGACAAAGACCCCTGGCTGTGCTGGGATTAAAGAGCTTGGCTCTAGTGGGAGAAAGAAGTGGCGGTTTGCTTCTGGAAGAATTTTCCGCCTTGGAAACCCTCTGGGAATGGCTCTACTATGTCCTTTAGGGTTACTTTAACTCCCAGTAGTCCCAGCAGGGGATATGGTTTGGTGTTTATGAGGTGGGATGGGTCATTCTCTGAAGACACAAGAGGCTTTCTGCTCCCACAAAAAGTTATTCTCTGAGAAACTAAAAAACAAACAAACCAGCAAAACACAACTTACTGCCAGGGAGTTGATTGTCCCTCATAGCAACCCTGCAGGACCAGGTAGAACTGGCCCTGCGGGTTTCCGAGACTTTGACTCTTCATGAGCGTAAAGAGCCTCTTCTTCCTCCCGTGGAGTGGCTGGTGGTTTCAGACTGCTGACCTTGTGGTCAGCAGCCCAACGCACAACCACTCTCACCAGAAAATCAGAGGAGCAAGTTGGAGCCCTCTCGAATGCAGGGGGAAACGAGTGGGCACACAGTAAGGAGAGGTCTAAGTGATATTATGGTTTGATTTACATTTCTTTGATGCCTAATGATGTTGAGAACTTGTCATGATTTGAAGGTGTTCCCTCTCAGTGGCATTGTTGGCACTGGCTCGATTGAAGTAAGTTTGCATTTTGGGGCTTTTGTACTTGGAGGGTTTTGAGAACACCTTGTCTCCTAGTATTGTTGTCCATGTTGCCTAGTTTTATGGGACGATTTAGGGACAAGTCAAAACATGCAGTGCCACTGGCAATTGCTTTGAAAACACAATCTATTCCTTTTTTAAAAACAGTACGGCAAGTTTAAAAGGAAAAAAAAAAAGCAGTTCAGTAGTTTCCTCCGTAATCCATAATTCATAACAAGTAATACTCTAGTGGAACAAATTATAGGAACTTTTTCTAGGCTGAGTTAAATATCATAAAATGTTTTCATGCCTGTTGAATGTCTGTCAGATTTTGACTGTGCTAAGAATCAACTTTTCCCTTTCAGAATAACAAGCCTTTGTACTCGTTTGAAGATAATTCAGACTATGTTTATGATGTGATGTGGTCACCCACCCACCCAGCCCTGTTTGCCTGTGTGGACGGCATGGGGAGACTGGACTTGTGGAATCTCAATAATGACACAGAGGTGAGCAGGAAAATAACCAAAATTGCGCTGAAAAACAGAAAATTGGAGATTTATTGAATAATTTGTGAAATTCCTTTTATCCCAAGGAATGTAAAAGGGCTCAGTGATTGTGGCTTCATCACAAAGAAGCTAAATAAGCTTTGTACCCTAAATAATAAACAGCATGCTGTGCAGAACTGAAGGCAGAAATAATGTGACCCAGAGCATTTCCCGGGGCATTTCCTTTTCCTTCTGAACAGCACTGAACAGCACCATCATGGCTCTAATGTCCTGAGAAGTCTCATTTATAAGGCAACAGGGAGATTTTTCTGTCACAGGCTAGAAAGCAGGTACTTTCAGACTGTTGAAGTATGTTAACCTTAATTCTGGATTTCTAAATTATCTCTTAGCCTTGATAGAATTGTGTATTATCTATAAGCATTAGTCTAAGCCTGACATGTGTGATTGAAGCAAAAATGTTTTTTGATGACTTTTTTTTCCATGCAGGATTGAAAACAGTGTTACTGTTCATATAAAATGAATATAAAAAGCCGCTAGATATCCAATTTGTAGTACTAAAATCACTTATTAGCGGTAAAGTTTAACTAATTCTATTTAGCCATGTGTATTTCTATCAGCTAAGGGAGACTTAAAATGCCCTTAGAACTTAAATGGCTTTGTGGCAGCAGACTTCATGCTAGTAGCTCTGTCAACAAGGAGAACGTTTCTCAGTGTCTGGTCCCCAAACCCACTCTTCCTCCTCGTCTCACATCTTCTCCGCTGGTATATAGGGCAATGAAGAATAATATATCGGAAATTTATATAGGGCAATGAAGAATAATATATTGGAAATTTAAGAACATGAGCGTTGTGTTTAGTTGTTGGGGAAACACGTTCAAACACTGCTGCCAGTAGCTAAATACTTGGATGTGATTATATGTTTTCCAATTACTGAGAAGGTTACTTTCTTGTTGCGGGTTTTGACCTTGTAGATTTATGGCCACAATTTAATGTGGAGCTTTCCTCTCACAGTCAAATAATATATCTAAATACAATTTTATGTATAAGAAGATTTAGGTCAGAGGGATTTTTCTATTTTGACTGTAAGTCTTCACTGTGTTTTCTTCTATTTTGCTTTTTGGGTTATTTTGTTTTAAAGAAGCATATTGTATATAGTTACACAGCCCAGCTCAACAAATGAAGTTGGTAATAATAGCCTATTAAGCCCCATGAAAGTGATTCTTTCTTCTCTTCCTTCCTCCCTCCCTCCCTCTCCATTTCCCTATCCCTCCCCTCTCCCTGTTCCCACCCCCATCCTTGGCCTCCGCAAACTCCTCAAAGTCTTATCCTTCGGTGTAAAAACCACGTTCTCTTTTAGAAGGATTATTTTTCATCTGGTTTCAAGTGTTTTAAGTTTTGTTTTTTCTTAAGAATTTTTATTGTAGTATTTAGTGAAAATCTAATAGTGAGTGCCTCTCTGCATGTCACTGTCTCTCCAGTGTAGGAGAGGGCAAGTGGACTAGAAGGGCCTGGTGCCATTGTGTGGGAGGGACCTGTGGCCTGCCTCCCTCCATCAGTTCTGGAACCAGAGCCTCTGGAAAGGTCCGTGTTGCACCTTCTCTCGGAACTGTTTCTAGGAATGGAATTGACCCAACAGAAATGCAAGCTACCACAGTAATTCCAGTCCTCTAAAGCTGAACTATAACTTGTTTATGGAGGCTTTTGCATTGTTTTAGGGTTGCTTCATGTTTTTGTTTTTGTTTCTAATGAATCATTAGCTGTATTTTTTCAAATGCCTGACTTCTTAAAGAATTTAAAACAACAAAGAGTATTTTATTAAAGAACAGTTCTCCCAAAATAATGTGTCTGGTCAGGTGAGAATTTCCTATGTAAGGACTTAAGTTATTTGCCAAACCATTTTTCAGGGATTGACTATAATGCCATCCATAATGTATCATTGAACATGAAGAAAGTTGGGGAAATTCTTTATCTGCCTATTTTCATCTTCGTTTTTAAAAATATAGCCAGATTGGAAGAAAGAAGAATTACTGTTTTACATGTTTATAGAAATCTTGATGAAACTTTTAACACTGCACTGCATTTTCAATGACTTTAGGTGCCAACTGCCAGCATTTCTGTCGAGGGCAATCCTGCTCTGAATCGTGTAAGATGGACCCATTCGGGAAGGGAGATTGCCGTGGGCGATTCTGAAGGACAGATTGTTATATACGATGTGGGAGAGGTATGGAACCTGCTGCCTATAATTTTGACACATCCATTTAGCTTTCACAGCATCGCAGTGGAGGAATCTTTGTGACTAAGCCTAGGCTCTGAGGCTCATGCATTTGTAGAAACCATGTGGTTGTAAAATAAACGTACGTACGTACTCTCCACCGCAGACAACCCTGCAGATGTTCTGTGTCCTTGCGCAATGGATTTTGAGGGTAGCCTGATAAGTTGAAAGTAGCCTGTTTTTAGAAGCCCATTGTCTAGAAATTGGAAAATGTTTGGGTGGAAAAAGAAATTCGTAGTTATAATTGAACCTCATGTAATTGATATTGAGACCAGATGTTGTTTTTCCGTGTCCATAGATTTGCTTGGGCAAGGTCATAGAAACCAGAAGCAATGTCTTCTGAGAGTCATCCGATGGCTCTAGCCGAGTGTGAGCCTTGAACCATACTGCACAACCATGGCGAATCAAATTCACCCTGAGCCGCTGCTTCTGCTTTCCTTTAGTGCCCTGCCTGCCCCTACTCAATGCCTGGGATGAGCTCCTCCAATGGGGGGCTGGCCAGCACCTTCATTTTTCTGTGTCTCATGATTCCTGCCCACCCCAATGTCTCCAGCAACTGGGTTTGCAGAGAGATGAATTAAATTGCTTACAACATCACTGTCCATGATGATGGAAATGTCCTATAGAGACACTATCCACTCTTATAGCCACTAACCATCAAAAAACCCTCACTAGCATAGAGTCGGTTCCAACTCATTAGGACCCTATAGGGCAGGGTAGAACTGCCTCTGTGGTTTTCGAGACTTAACTTTATGGGAGAAGAAAGTCTCATCTTTCTCCTGAGGAACGGCTGGTAGTTTCTAACTGCTGACCTTGGCAGTTAGCAACCCAGCATGTAACCACCTCACCACCAGGGTTCCTAACCACTAACCTTAGAGATCCCTTAAAATGTGGCTAGTTTAACTGAGGAACTGCATTTTTAACTTTCTGTTACGTTTCAGTCATTCTGTATAAAGAGTTGAGTGCTAGATGTTCTATCAGGTTAGAACCTGTTGGCTTAGAAGCAGGTGCCCCTTTTTGCCCCACTGATTGTCCTGTCCTCTAATCTGGCCTTGACAGACTCCCACAGTATCATAACGACAATTACCAAACAGTCATGGTCCGTGAACTGCTTCAGGGAGGAAACGTATCACAAACCTCTTACCCTGTTCTGTTGGTGCAACACTGAAGAAGTAGGATTGGCGTCAAATCTGATGGCACGATTGAGATATTAATAAAGGTTATCTTATGCCCCACATACAAATAACTACTTAAAATAAACCAGCTCTTGGGAATCACACTTCAAAAGCTACGTAGGTAGGAATGGTGTTAAGACTGAAGTGAACACAGATGAAGGAATTCCTCCCCGCCAGCAAACTGCATGAGCTGCCATAGCCAGGAGTTTATTGACAAAGCACTGTGCTTATCCTCCCCGCGCGGATGCTCACCGTTGCAGTCATTCCTGAGGCTGGCACAACACACTTCACAAACCCCATCCTTTGGTTCAAAATGTACGTCAGTGTTGTAGCCTCCTAATGATGGAAAGGTCATCAGGCCATTTAATACTTTTTAATTGGCGAGGTGTGGGGGGGTTAAACAACTGTGTGAAAGCAAACTGAATGATAATGGGTAAGATGATCTTTTATTTCAGCGGACCAAACACAATATCTTTCTTCTAACAGCAGATTGCTGTCCCCCGCAACGATGAGTGGGCCCGGTTTGGCCGCACGCTCGCGGAAATTAACGCAAACCGAGCCGACGCCGAGGAGGAAGCAGCCACTCGGATTCCTGCTTAGTTCCTGACGTGGGAGACACAGCCTTTGTAGATTGGGGCCGCCGCTAAGTAGATCCTACGAGTATGTGCATGCTTCTCTCTCAATGATAATTAAAAGAAACTGTGTGGATGTAATGCCGCAAGCATATCTTGCAATGCCCTTTTTATATAACATGCTTCTTGTTTGGCATTTGTGTCATTTTTAATACAGCTGACTGACTTTACAAAATGCAGCCTTTTCCGAATTCTTATATGCAGTTATATATTTCATATTAGTTATCCTTTTGAATTCTTTTCAATTTACTACACTGTTGCAGCTATTTCTAAAGCACAGAGTAGTTCTGCATATTTTAAATGGTCGCAATTCTCTGTTAAACTAACCATAATGTGTAGGAACATTGTCTCTTCTTCACCTTAGCATGCATACATCTACCCAAGTTCCACCCTAACGCCCATTTTCTTCTTTATAATTCACGTGGTAGCGATCTATAAATAAAAAACAAATCTGCATTAACTTTTTATTTTGATTTACTCCTTGCAGTTTGGATTTTGCCATCTCTTTCTAAAGTGTCTAAGTGGTTTTTTTTAAATCCTCCTTCAAGCCCCTGTTGTGATCAGCCACCTCAGAAACTGTAAATATCTATGCCGCAAATACACAATACAGAATATCCTGTCCATTTCCCCATGCAAACTGGTATTTAATCTCAGTGTAAAAAATTCCCGAGTTAACTTGTGCTTTGATATCTTATTTTCTTTCCATCTAAAACATATTTATTTTAAAGAATAAATGGAGAGCTGCCTATTATTTTCGCTGATTAAGGTGACTAGGAAATGTGAGTCCTCTGAAAGTGAGAAACCTCCCCTGAGAGGAATTGACGTCATGGTTGCTGTAGCCAGTGAAGGAAAGTGCTCACAGGAGCCCCCATGTTATCACTGAATCAGCTCCACATCTTGAGCGCTAAATCTTGTTGGGACAACTTTGTCTATGAGTCTGAAAGGTAGGTGACCCGCTTCTAAGGATTAGTATTGAAATCAACCTGTTTTAGGTTCAGAAGCCAGCACTATGATCTACTGTAAGGGCCCTCTCCTTGATCCCCAACCTTTATTCTTCTAAAGTTTTACCACCTCTTTAGTGACCAGAACGTGAATTAGGAGGGAAGATTAGAAATCAGAATTTAAACAGTATTGTTTTGTTTTTGTTAATAATCCTAACAAAGACCTGGTAAGAAAGGAGTTTATAAATAGTAGTAGAATGTCTTGGCTATGGTCATTATATAGCATGAGGAGTAATTGAACTGGCTACCAGAGCCAATTCTAGTTCGGGCTCGGCCATCGGGGCTAGTCAAGTCTTGCTGGCTCTCTACCTTATCCTCCGTATCTAGGAAATGCCTTTGGATTAAATTGTTTCTAAATTTCCTCTTAGATCTGCAACAATTCATTCCAGCTACTCCAGCCAGTTCTCTTCTTCTGATTGTTTGGTTTTCATAAATTGGCACCCCATAATTTTCTATTACTTAGCCAAGGTGAATTTTGTATGTCAGCTGGTAAACGTCCCAAATTATCTATAGGAGCTATGTGTGTGGATCAGAAGTTCAATTTCTACAGGACCACACTGTATAGAAAAATTCATGGGATTATCATAATATTTTATTATCATTTCAAAATCTGTTTATAAAAATCACTAGAAAAGAAGAACTAGCTGTGTGTTAAAACATGAGTGTTAACAAGTAGGAAATCAAGGCTAATTGGATGCTCAGTGACCCAAATTGACTAGTTCAGTTGTGGGAGGAAAACAAAAAAGGAATTAAATTGACAAGTATTTGCAGAAATACTTAATATCAAAAGAGTTTTTTTTCTTCTAGAAAATCACTCCAATACCCTCTCCCCAAAAAGTATGGTGTGGACCTCTACGCATTCACCATTCGTCTGCATTTTAAGGAACAGATGAATGTAATGTAGGGAATTACCTCTAAAGTTTGGCTACCAAATAGCAAAAGTATGCAGAAAAACATAGATGTAAAATCTATTGACAACATTAAGCTGAATAGAAAAGTGTGTCACAGCTCTTTACTCTTTTAGAAATGAAAGCTTTATAATTCTGAGAAATACTCAGCCACAGAAACAAATAGCTTATTTGTTATTTTCAGTTATACTTTTAAGTGGGACACAGAGCTGTAAGTATCTGGCTGGTTTTTCAATTTTTGATTAGTTTTTCTCTCTCTGAATGAGAAGTTCAAGATTATCGGATACCCTTATTTGTGTTGAGGAATGAAACTCAGTTTTTTAGAAAGTAGTTATCTTGTAATACGGCTTTGAAATGATCATTCTGACATAATTATGGACGCATGCCCCATTCAGAAGATTGTGTTATCTCTCATTTAAACAATCAGATGATCCATGGAGAAAGTTTGTCAAGCATTTCTTCTTGGATCCACAACACTCGTGGAAGCACCAGTCAAGAAACCAAACAACATTTTACATTGAGAAAACCTGCACAAGACTTCTTTAAGGTGGTAAATGAGCAGACACCACTTTGAGGACTAAGGTACACCTGCCCCCTCCATGATATTTCCAATTTCTTCATATGCATGTGAAAACTGGACCAGGAATAGGACTATCCAAAGAAGAATTGATGCATTTTGAACTAAGATGTTGGTAAAGAATATTGAAAGTTCCGTGGACTGCCAGAAGAACAAACAAATCTGTCTTAGAAGAAGTACAGCCAGAGTGCTCCTTGGAAGCCAGGATGGCGAGAATTCACTTCATATACTTGGGACATAATGTCAGGAAGAACCACCCCCTAGAGAAGGACACCGTGGGTGGCAAAGAACAGGGTCAGGGACAAAGATGAAGACCCTCAACGAAGTGCATCGCCAGCGGCTGCAACAGTGAATGGGCTCAAACATAACAACTGAAGATCGCACGGGCTGGGCCGGGTCTCGTTGGATTATACATCGGGTCACAAGTCAGAGCCACTCAGCGGCTCCGACCAGCAGCATTTAAGCCAAATACTCGCTCATAGAAGCTTTCTTCCTGTTTCCAAATGCAGTTCCCTACGAAGTTTAGAAACTATTTAAAATGCCATTGCACTTATATTGAAATACAGCATCTTGCAGGAAAACAAAGTAGTGTTGAGGATGCCCCTGGTCTTTCAATTGTGTACAATTCATTCCGCTTTGTACCAGTGCTAATACACACGATTCTCTACCCCTTGAACCATGGGGAAGACAGACTTGAATGAAAATGTGGCATAAGATTTTCCCTCTTTCTATTAGGTAATGCATTTTTACACTGTTGAATCCACTGTGACAACCCATTAGCATTATACTTTCTAGATGTAGAAAACTGCAATGATCAGGTGTGTGTCAAACAGAATGGAGCGCCAACTTACAGCTTTGAGTGTTTGTTGTGGTTGTTTGGGCAGGGGGCAGGGGTTGGCTTTCAAACGTGGTATCGCATCCAGTTGGGCTTGAATCTGGCTGCTTTTGATGATTTAGTGATGAAGTTCTCCTGGAGTTTTTTTCTTCTCCATCAGGGAAGTGAAAAGTTCATGCTTTCCTGCTACCATCTTGCTAATTGCTAGGCAATTAGAGATGGGTTGTAACAGGTTTGGGGAAAATAGGCCCAAATAAAGCCTTATTTTGACTCACTAAAAAGGGCTGAGAAATTACCTACTTAGCAAGCTGGTTCACAGATTTGGGGGGGTAACAGGTTGGGGGGACATCAGTTTCACAAAGACAAGAGTAAAAGAACATCCACACTCGATATTTCTTTTGAAGTGGTGGGTGACAATAAAGAGCATTCTCTTAGCCAATTTCTTCAGTCCTACAGCTCCAGAAAGGTAAAAATTTTCTTGTACTGGGTGAATTATATTTTTCAAATCCTTTTCACATATAAGAAACACCTTATAGAGTCCTTTTTTAGAAAAAGGCCCTACAATCCCAACCACAGTGCCAATTGGAAGACTCTGGATAGCCATCTGCTCAGGATGATTTCCACAATAGGCCGGTGCTCTCGGGCCTCTCAGTGGACGGCAGGTGTGTAGATTCCCCTTCTTTCTGCTACAATTCCCCAACTTAAAGTTCGAATGGGTTTCAGGTAGTTAAGTTTTCAGTATGTAACTTCTAGCCACTGATAGTTTCAACATAGCCAATCAGCAATCTTTGACAAACTTTAGTGAAATTACAGTATTTTGTGTTGTTAGTTTCATAGCAGGAATCTCGGTTTGGGCTTCTTAATATTCCATTACCAGTTCCCAGTCAGGGGATGGAACAGCTTGCGCTCGGTAAGCTTTTGGAAAGGCCCGACTCACTTTGTGAGGTCACTCATTCAGGTCTCCGGTAATGTGTTAGCCTGCCTCTCTCATAATGTACTTGATTTGGTCAGGAAGCTGTGGGGCAGTGATTGTATGGGGTGTAGAACACACCTACATTTCAGTGAACATGCAGAGCCCTGACACCGGAACTCCAGAAATCAGGTAGACCACCGGTAAGTCTTTGATGGCAAGTAATTTTATCTTTTGTGAATTTTTTCACTAGGTATAAAGGAAGGAGAAAAAAGAGGTGGGGGAGAACTTTTCTTGTATAGCGCAATGGAAATGCTTTGAAACAAAATCCCATACACATAAGGGCAGTCTGGTATATGGGGGCTGGGGTAAGAGCACCCAAGTTCTATTCCGGGTCCTTCCCTCCTCCCATTATCAGTCATGATAATAATATGACAAGAACCTGTTTTCTCATCTGTAAAGTGAGGGAAATGCCTGCTTCTTTCTGTGAAGCTTATGTGAAAGAATGTGTATATGAAGACCATATAAATGATAAGATACTACCCAAATATGATTGTATTTCTCCGTATTTTTGTTTGTACTTAAAAATAAATACAAGAATGGACAGTGTAACGAGCTCTTCTAAGAATAAAGTAGCTTGGTATACAAGACATTATATTTTTAATTCTGAGAACGAGACAAGGCTACCCCACCCCTTTGTCACGTAGTTGTTCCCACCCCTGACAGCTGTCCAGAACAGAATCGGGCTTTCCCCTGGGACTTCCAAAGCCGTCCGTTTTCATAGATGCAAACTCTCATTTTTCTCCCATGGAGCCACTGGGGCATTCAAACCACTGACCTTTGGGTAAGCCAGTGTTTAACCACTACACCACCAGGGCTCCGAGTATTCTAAGAAATGACATGACAGTTATAAATCCTCAGATGTTTAGAAGTAACATGGAGCTGAGAGAGAAATGTTCATTGACCTAAATGATACGTTTTCCATAAAAGTTTACTCATTACATTCAGTAGAAAAATGACAAATTATGTTTAGTAGGAAAAAATTACCCCACTCTGAATTGCCAACCTCTGTACAGCTGTTGTGCTTATCTGTTAGTTAGACTGTACTCTCTGGAGCCTTTTTTTCCAAAAATCAACAACAAATCAAACTTGGTTCAAGACTGCACTGCGGTGTGGTAGCTGAGTCAGAGCCCGACCCTTCCGCAAAGTGTGGGGCACAGCTGTTCAGC